TTGATAATTAACATCTGAATAGTGGTGTTATGTTTAAAATGTCCCCAGAGAGAGGCACACTGGCTCATGAATTAAATGAGGTTCAGCGCATGAGCTTTAGAAACATTCTGTGAAAGTAGATCACGGGTTGCATAGCTATAGGGTACATGTTCCTCCTACTAGCGTGATTGAAAATAGCATTCGGCTCGAAATCAACGGAAATAGAAGGTTGAGCTGTCAATAGGGCTTTAGTTAATGATTATATTCAGCTAATGACGGAAAAAATAATTCCAGAGTCGAAAAGCTCCGGTCTGGAATGTATCGATTGGTTGGTTGTGAAGGCTTATTTAAGTGGGTTAATAATCTGTTAAATGCATCGAGAATTGTGGTGTATAGAGTCATGGTGCTTTTGTTTAAAACATGCAGCTTATGCAGGCCTATGTGTAGTGTGATCCGGAAATTTATACTCATAATTTTATTTTGTTTGTAACCATAAAGTTTGATTAGTCACAGTTTATTGTTATGTTTCAGATTGAATTTTATACTATTCAAAAGTTGTCATTAAGATTTGGGATGGGGTTGGTAAGATTTTTAAAATGTTTTCTAAAGAAGTCTCTTATGCTTACCAAGGCGGCATTTATTTTTTTATCAAAAATACAGTAAAAACTGTAAAATATAATTGCAAATTAAAATTAACTTTTCTGTTTTAATGTATTTTAAAATGTCATTTAATGCCATAAATAATCAGGCACCTCTGTACTCTACAATCCTCCTGAAACTGCATAATCCCCCTAGAGCCTTGCGCTCAGTGCCTAGGACAAACCGTCATCAAAAAGGCGATCGTACTTTTGCAGTAATGGGGCCGAGACAGTCTTGTTGAAAATCTGAAAAAAAAAGCAATATTTTAATTGACCACTAGGTGGAGATATATTGCTATGTTTAAAAGCATAGCTCTTCATCAGCTTTGCTTTGCACAGGATGTTATTCCGCAAGGTGCAAATACTTTATATAATGGAGTCCTTATAGTTTCCAGCTCTTAATTTCTTTGTATGTGATGCTTTTTTTTTTTTTGCAAAGTATGTAACATTTTCAATGCATTTGATGAATCACAATAAGTAAAAACACCATAAAACAATTTTTTTATTTTAAAAGTGTCTTATGCCTACAATGGTCAATTTTGTTGAAGTAAAAAAAAAAACTTTCATTACAAATAAAAATAAGTAGTAAATTGGTTCAGATTACCATTGAGTATAATGCTAGTCGATGCAAAGTCAGACAGCAGAAAGTTTAGTCCTTATCTTTGAGGAAAGAAGTAAATATATGTGGTAATACAGACAAAGGGAAGGGGGGTGTGTATAATGGAGGAGTGTGTCTGAAGGGTTTATTATGAGGTCAGGGGAGAATTATATGGAACAGGGGGTTGTGAGGGATTGTGATGCTGCCCCAGATTTTGTTTGGGGCGACTGATGCATATCTGAAGTTAGAAGCTTGAGATGGCACCCTGCTTACCACTCCAGGATTTGTGTAATTAAAAGCTATATATCCTACAGTATTTACCCAGAAAACATAATATATGCTGCACATTTCTTTGGTATTTAAACAGGATAGGCTTCTAGTTTCTGAGATAAATAGATCTATGGGTGGCAATCACAAGAAAACCTCTAATCTAAACGTTCGCAGTAAAGCACACAATCTCTTTTAGGTTTCCATCAGTGTTATTAAGTTTTATTGTGATTACACAAAAGCCCCATATAATCCTTTGCCCCCTCCTCTTCACACCATTGTGTAAAGTCCAGCTGATCCTCCCACTCCCCCTCAAATCCGGACTGCTTCCCAGTGTGGAGTCCGGCACAATGCCATTGTTATCCATCAGATTGTCTGCGGTCATTACTCATTCGGCCATCCACTCTGCCTTTTGTCCATAGCTATCTTTCACTCTTGCCATGGACATGAGACTCTGCTGCTTTCCTATCATGCTCGGCCTCTGCCCATCTGCTCCCAACTTACACACACACACACTGACACTCTGTCCACGCTCCGTACCAACTGTCCCGGTGAAGTCCCTGGGGTGGAAACAGGTGCTGGGCTTGTGCAGGCCGAAGCAGACAGCACATGGCAGCACAAGCTCCCCAAAAACACATGAACTTGATGTTACCAAGATCAGATGCAGTTTAAATACACTACCTGTTTTGTGCATAATGGTTTCAACAAAAATATGTTTTCAACATTGATAGTAATAAAAAAAAATGTTTCTTGAGCACCAAGTCAGCATATTAGAATGATTTCTGAAGTAATGGCTGCTGAAAATTCTTCTTTCCCATCACGGAAATAAATTACATTTGAATATAAATATAATTAGAAAACAGTTATTTTAAATTGTAATAATATTTCACAATATCATTGTTTTACTGTATTCTTTGGTCAAATAAATGCAGCCTTTGTGAGAACAAGAGACATTAAAAAATGACAGACTAAAAACCTTACCGACCCCAAACTTTGGAACAATAGGATTTGCTGTCAGGTCAAAGGAATAGTTGCTGAAAATTTGCTGAAAATGTACTCACCACCTAGGCCATCCAAAATGTAGATGTAGAGATTGTTTCTTCATCAGAACAGATTTGGAGAAATTTAGCAATGAATGGTTGCTGTCAGAATGAGAATCCAAAGAGCTGATAAAAACCTCACAATAATCCACAAGTAATCCATATGACTCCAGTTAAGTCTTGTGAAGTGAAAAGCTGTGTGTTTGTATCGTTAAGGTAACTTTAAACCATCAGTTTTGGATGAACTGTTTAAAAATGATTCTGTGTTTGATACAAGTTCAGCTCAGTCGACAGCATTTGTGGCGTAATGTTGATTACCACAAAAAATAATTTTCATTTGTCCCTTGTTTTCTTTAAAAAGAGGAAGAATTTAGGTCAAAGTGAGGTACTTTATGGAATCAAATGGGGACAATATTTGTAGGATTCAGAAGCAAAAATGTTAAGCATATAATTTTATAAAACCACATTCATTCTTTTATTAAAAATGATGCGTTATTTGAGCTATAATGATGTTCCCTTATTTTTTTAAGGTCCTTTTAGGATTTTAGGCATTGTCGTCTTGACATTGAAGCTGTAAAATTGGATATAACATTACACAGTCAATGTCACTAATGATTTATTCACATTAATATCTTATTAACAATCATATTGTTTACATTTTGTGGCTACTTGTGAAACACTGAGAATAATTAGACTTCAGAGTTTCCCTTTAGGCCTGCTTGAAGATGTAAACCGTGCCAGAGCCCAGCGTGAAATTATTACGTCATCCATTGATGGTAAGATAAAAATAGATAAAAGGTAAAGGGGACTATCAGTATGGGCCTCTGGGTAGAGTTATTTATATCATAAGCACAAATCTGTCCAGGCGGAGGGGAATGGTATTCAGTACAAAATACCCACACCCCAGTCACCTTAACAATTTCCACAGGATGCATTCAAGGTGAAATTAAATCACTTTTATTGGGGGGATCAAAGGGTTAGCCTGACAGGGGTCCTCTATTTTAGGACCTTACATTGTGGGTTGTAAAAAAAGGGAATGTGTCGACACTTCACATGCTGGGGCAGCCAACCAGCCATTTCTCTTTACTATGTCAGGTTGCATGTCACTCTCATAGGACATGACTTTAGAAATGAGTCAGAACAGTTTTTGTTTCACTGGATGATAAGGCAATTTTCAGGGAATTCAGTCTTGCTTAATATTTGGTTTAATGTTGAAAGAATGATTGGACACTCTGTTACAAAGACTTGGTTTATAGGAACAGGTGTTATTTAAGTAGCGATTGTGATCAAATTTGTCATATATTTGTTATCCGTTTTGGGCAATTGAGTCAACCAAATGTAGATGTGATATATAAAATGTCTTGATTAATGTTTCATAGTGGAGAGTGTCTGACAGAGATGGATTTCTATGATCCCAGAGCCCTTGTACTCCTCCAGCTGGCTTGAATTGATGGCCTTCTCCTGAATGAACATGAACTGATTCGGGACATTCCCAGTATGTGCTTGCAGTGGGCAAGCCTCAACAGGCCTGAATATGTTTGCAAGTACACACAGGACTGCTGCTGTCTCAGCCCCTGCACCCTCCCACCCCCGTCTGGAGTCTAGAACCATTGTACACAATTTCAGCCAGGGCTTGAGGTCCAAATAATGCTGTGTATCTCAAAACACTCTGCTAGCTTTTCAGCATCCCCTCAGTCAGTCAGTTTGATTTGTGATACAACTCAAAAAAGCAGGTTTATGGAATGTTTATGAAATTAAATCAAATGTGAGGAACGTTGCTTAAATAAAACTAAATGCATAAACTTAGTTTAAACAAAACAAAGTAAACAAACTGAAATTAAATTAAATCAACATGCAATGAAAATTGTTAAAATCCAAGCTAGAACATCATTATTTGGTGTCAGGCATGTTTGAAGAATAATTTTTCATCACACACTAGATAATTATATAAAATGCAAATAATTGTAATATAATGTTAAAACTGACAATACTAATATGATAAAATATATATAAAAATTACTTTAAAACTGACACTAAAATGTATTATATTTTCCAAATAAATAATTTATCCAAATAAATAAATAAATGTGTTAAACACATATAGCATCATATGCTGTTAATCATAGCATACAATGTGCAAATAATGTTAAAACTGACAGTAGTAATATAATATAATATAATATCATATAAATTCTAAAACTGACTTGAAAATGTATCTTATTTTTCTCAATAAATAAATGTGTTAAGCACATATAGGATGTGTTGTAATATATATTTTTTAATTAATTACTTTTAAAACTGACACGAAAAAGTATTAAAGGCTATCGTATTTTGTCTAATGAATGGATGAATGAATGTTAGGAACACACTGGATATGAATGACTAAAGAGTAGGAGTAGAGAGGAGGAGGAGGAGGAGGAGGGGCGGGTCCAGACAGCGCTGCGTCTAGCTGAATTTCATCTGTACTGTGTTGACTTTCCGCTGACCTGAGGAGCTGAGCAGCATCCGGCAATGTGCCTCTAATGGGCAGAAAACAACTTTCTCTTCTTTTTGATCTGGCCATTTAACAAGTCCATCGACGCTACGTCTTTAAAAGCACAGGACTTTGATAAGGACTATATTTGGAGTTGTTGTTTATTTACTAAAGATGTCTATATTGCCTTTCACTCCTCCGATTGTGAAGAGACTGTTGGGCTGGAAGAAGGGCGAGCAGAACGGACAGGAGGAGAAATGGTGTGAGAAGGCAGTGAAGAGTCTGGTGAAGAAGCTGAAGAAGACAGGACAGCTGGAGGAGTTGGAGAAAGCCATCACCACCCAGAATATCAACACCAAATGCATCACTATACCGAGGTACAGACTGTAGGATGTGTCTCAAAACATAGTGAGCTGCCTTCCTAGATGGCATTTTGGGCAATATTATGCGCCTTCTGAAGGCAAATTCGATTTCCAAACAGGGTATCTAGGTAGACAGCTCACTAGTTTTTTGAGACATCCATATACAACCAATAACTGTGAAGCTAATGCTGCAAACTAGCAAAAGCCAGCAGATATTCTCATTATAACAAGCTTTTCTAACACCGGTTAAATTGTTAATGTGTTATTGAGTACTCTAACAGCTGTTTATGGAGTTTCATTAGTCAGTTAACCACCAAAATGTTCTTGACCGTTACAGTTAAGTGCGCGCGTAAGTTGACTAGCTTGCTAAAGCCATTATTGCTTTGCATTGTTGCTTTTCAGTGTCATATCTAGTTTCCTACAGTAACTGGAGAAGAAAAAATGTTTTGGTTAATATTATATCAAGTTCACATGTTTAACAGTCTCGGAATGCTTGCATTCATACAAGCGTCAGCTAACGTTAGTCGGACTATGACTACTGCTGACATGGTGAAAAATACTCGTTACTTTTAACTGTTGAGTTGGTTTTGAAAGCTTATATGGATGACCATAAACTTCACCCATCTATATTCATAACAGACAGACAGTTTAAACGGCTGCGATAAAGTTAAATGTTCAGGCTCGTATTAGTGAATAAAATGCCAAACATCACTGTGTGCCAAGCTAAGCTGTTATATAACAGTCTGTGATATCTGGGGCAGACTGGGGCTGTTTTGACAAATATTAATTTTGATAGCTGGATTGCGCATTCATCTACAGTTTATAGATCAAACCTTATTAGTATATGGAATATACGATCAGTAATGTTAAAGTAACACCATTAAGTGAATAGTCAGTGGTTAGGTTAAAGTGCATCTAAACAAATAATTGCAACTAGTGGATGTGATGGCTCTGTAAAATGTAATTTTACAGATACTGGGTAAATTACATGTTGTTTTGTGTATTCTAGTGTTCACTCTAAGGTGCATTGTCCCTAAACTGTCTTGGTAGTGTTATTAAATTTGTCTGTGAATCAGTGTACTGTGCCCTGTGCCCTAGATGGTGGCGATGGAGGAGAGTAAAGCTTGTTATATCATAACCACTGTGGTAGTTATATCCAGTTGTACTCAGGACATTTCATCATTGGTAAAAGGATTTGGAGAATTAGTAGCCCTACAGATGAAAACGCAAAGCCTTTGTGGCTTTGTTTACAGCATATGCATATTTTTACTTGATAATATCAAGTATTATATGTAGAATACATGTCATTTTCATTTAATAATTTGGATTCATTAATGGCAAGATACAATTGAGATTACGAATGCAGCACAATAATAATTGGATGCCTAAATAATAATTGAAAATAAAATTTGATTACTTGCCCAGCATTACTAATGATGTCAAAAAGCCATGTTAAGAATGCTTCCAGTCCATGCAGGTCTGTTTAAACAGAAAAATGGGTGAGAACCAGGTCACTCTCAGTGGGAATCCCCTGGTGACTAACATAGTGTTAATAAATAGCTGTGATATCAGCACGCAGCATTTGAGCATGGGGTTACATACTTGAGCATGTAAGTGCATACCTTACCATCTGTGTAGTTATGGGTGGAGAATTTAGTGTGCGAAAAATCTGTATCAGTTCATATCTTATCTCGTCTTCCAGCTGTTTTCTATATATATAGATCACAGATTATGGCAGGTCAGCTGGAATTGCATGATCATTTCACTGTGCTTGCTTACAGACCTGCCAACCTGTATGCATTTTGCGTAGCAGGTACGCATTTTGACCTCAACGTGCGCTGGTACTGGTAACTATGCAAAATCCTGGTGACGCCTCTGTCTACGTGCAGTACTCAAATCAAGCAACAGCAAAACAAGAAGAGTTCAACTAATCAGAGCGCTTTTTTAAATGGCATTTTAAATCATTTATATCATCTTTTAAAGATGTATTATATAAAATAGGATGCTGCGCTACGGCTAAATTTCTGTACAGAGAGGTCACGCAGTGATATATCGATCTTCTACTGGTCACATGTCTTCATGTGATGCGAATTCGCAGGTCAGAGTTCACCAAACTTGAACTTTGGAACGCAGCGAAATGCAAAATTTTTCGCACGAGCTTGCGTTTCCGGTCTGACGCATTCGCATGCATATGAATGGAAGTCAATGGAGCAAAAAATGCAGTGTGACAGCCGCTTTACACTCTTTATGCATGTTCGCTATTCCCAATTCAGAAGACCGCACACACAGCCTGTGTCTCTGAATGCTTCTCATACTCGCTCCTCTCTGCCGACATTTGCATGCGTATGAATGGAAGTCAATGGAACGAAAAGTGCAGTGTGACCGCCCCTTAAATCTTGCACTTTGCACATTGTGCAATTACGATTTTGATATTAGCCATAATATATGAACCCCCCCCAACCCCTTAAAAAATGTTCTGCCAGGTTGCCAGGTCTGCTTGCTTACTACTGGTATCCAATTGGGATCTCTTCTTGTTTGCTTGTTCTCCATTTGGCTTTTTTTTTTAGCCTAAAGTTAAAACAATTGTTCACCTGAAAATGATTTGGTTGATGAAGTGCTTGATTTGTGCATATTTCTCTCCTGATTCAGATGAGATGACTTCTTCACTGGAGAAAGCAATATTATGGATAGAGGATTCTTATTTTAGCTGGAAGCAACAGTTTGAAGTTAAAAACATCATAATGATGATTTATTACAAACATGCAGCTTTTCGCTTTACAAGACATCAATTGAGTCATGTTTTTATCGGCTGTTTAGACTCTCATTCTGATGGCACACATTTTTTCATTTTTTTTGATGAACCATTTCTTTAAAAAATATTAGCCAAAATATTTGAAATTAGACAATGCAAAAAAAAAATATTAACCTACAGATGTTTTCAAATTCAATTAAGACACAATTCTTAAGAATGTATTGAGACTGCTAACAAGGAGAAAACTCAAAAATGTGTAGGTTTTACAAGTCACCTGTGCAAAAATGACTTGCATTTGGCTAGTTGCAGGTGCCCAGCACTGTGATAGTATCAGAAATATATTCATCATTGTTGTACCTCTCTTGAACCTTAGGACTTGACTTGACTTGTATTCTTTGCTATCTCTGCTTTGGTAATTGTGATTTGAGCAGCATGTACATTGTCAGTATTGAGCACTTGTGTTGTTTAATTTTGATGTTCTACAGTTTGACCACATACATCCTGCCCTTTTTAAAGGAGCTTTCACACAGGAAATTAATGTTTATGCTTCTTTGCTGCATCTCTTGTCTGTACTGCTCTGTCAAGCAACCCTTTTTATGATGAAATCTGTATATAGTAAGCAAATCCCCACAAAATGCCATTCACACACTTGCACTCAGACAGACTTTCTCTGTACACTCTCACAGCTGAGAGTGTGTTTATTCAACATTAGTGTTGTCAAAAGACCCGGTATTTCGGTACCAAGTCGGTACTATAAAAATGAAAACGTTACGGTACCAGGTTTTCTTAAGTACCGGTGGTACCGAGTACCCGGTCAACCCGGTTCTTGATGCGCTAAACGAAGCTATCCTCTTCCAGTGTTGCCAAGTCCGCGGTTTTCCCGCAGAATTGGACTGCTTTAACACTGTTGCCGCAGGTTGTTTTTCATGTCCGCGGGTTGAAAAACGACCCCACTAACGTGATATTTAGCCCCTGGAATGCGAATTTTACCAGGGGAACCCCGCCAAAACATGCGTATTTTATCCTCGGAACGCGATTTTTAACGGGGACCCCTCGAAACGCGATTGGGTGGTGTTGTTGTGAAAACCTGGCAACCTCTTCATAAAAGCAGTGGCGACCTCAAGAGGAGGAAACGCAGCAAACTAACAAAACACCCCGATCAAGTTCAAGCAGGTAAGTTTCAACTACATTTTTAATATTTAGAGCTTCTGTAATGAATATTATTCCATATTTTAATTTTAATTTCGGATTGAAATAAACATCGCGGTTAGCGTATACGAAGTTAATCGTTAGCATAAGTGCGGCTAACGCTAATATAATGAGCATGAGAATTAATTTTGTTCATTTTGTTCAAAATGATTTCTTTGTTAACTATTTAATGCTCCTATAACTTTTATTACTGTAAAAAAAAAACAGGAGGACATAATGGTATTTACTATTTTTACACACCAGAGGCTTTTAAATATATTATATTTTCCTTTTACAGCTGCAGACGGAGGAAGATCCTAAAACAGACAACAGTTTACAGATGTTTTTCAGTGGCAGCAGAACTATGACTAAACTTCTGGGTGAAACTTGTTTACTTTTTTCATACTTTTATTACTTGTGGAAAAACTTGAAACAATTTTAAATAAGTATAAAGAATGGCATTGGTTTTGTACATTTAATTTTTGTTTAACGTTATTAATAAGAATGTTGTTCAATTAGCATGTTTTTGTGTTTTGCTTTGGTACCGAAATTGGTACAGAGAACAGTGGATTTTCACTGGTATTGGTACCGAATACTGAAATTTTGGTACCGTGACAACACTATGAGGCATGGTTATTCAGATATCAAGAATGCAGTGCAAGGTCTGGAGGAGGGTATAGGTTGTTCCCTGGATTGTGGTTGAGTGTAAAAGGTTGGCGTTAGGCTGGTTTGAATATACTCAACTGTGTCATGCTCTATGAGGTCCTGATGCTCCCTACACTGATTTGTTCCCTCTTCTTCTGGATGAAATTTTCTTTGCATTACTGGCTATCTGGGTGGCAAGGGAAAGACTATACATGTTTGCAACAGAACCAGAGCAGGAAATCGTCACCTGCACACAGGCTCTGAGTTTCTGAGGTTATGCTACTTCCTGCTCCACACGCTTATTCAAATAGAGCACGATATTCTGAGAGACTCTAACCAAAGCGAGACATGCTAACTAGAGGTCGACCGATATGGGTTTTTCACTGGCCGATGCCGATTTTTAGAAATCAGGGCAGCCGATGGCCGATAT